TTCCTCCCAAGTCAGAGATGTCCAGACATTAAGAGAGAATGTTAAAGAGTGAGGTGAGATGAAGTCGATCGTGCCAAGATCTTGCCATCAATCCAGGCCATATTCAGGTAAGCAAAGATGTACGTGAAAGGCGTTTCCTGTTTGGTGCGAATTAGACTTTTAAGCTAAAAGCTGATATCATGTGCTCGCAAATGGCTCTGAACACGTGACCGCATACTGCACCGAGACTTGCACAGCCTCGATTCACATGGGAACTCTGGAAAGACTCGATTAAGCTACCTGTGGTGACTCCGTCAATTGCTCCTCTACCCCAAGACTCAATCTTCCAGCACGCTCTCGATTGCAAAATGGTGCCAAGTGGATGGCCTCGCTTAGCACGAGTACTTGGATCAACAACACCCCCGAGGGGCAAACAATTATATTTTCATGAACATCTTGCTATCAATCACGCCAAAATTTGGAGCCACATTTTAACCAATCTTGCATCGATAGCTTTGAGCTCTGACATGCTTTTGCTCGCCTTCTCGCTGGCTGCTGTCTCAAAAACCACGTGCGGCCCACGCGATGCGATCAACGAGAAAAAAGGCATAACCTTGAGAGCCGGCTTCAATTCCATCTCCTTCGGATCCCTAGTCTTAAGAGTCCGCAATACCGCCATCCATTTCGTCAAAGGGACGCTTTTCGCCTCCGGCCCACAGTGCTCTTGGATACAGGGCACGAGATCTGACCAAGCAGTCTTGTGAGGATTGACAACGTTATAGTAGGAGGGTTTCCCAAGACTCCCCATTTCAAGGTCATGGAGACAAAGCTCTAGCGTTATTGAAGCGAGGGTGTCGATTGGTACCCAGTCCACTTGCTGGAGATCATTGGGTACTAGGCCGATGGATTTGGACGTTTGAATGATGCCAGGAACTACCTCACGATTTGACCAGGGAGAGCCTCCTGGTTTCGTGGAACCGCATATTTGCCCAACGCGGAGAACCGAAATTGGGACTTGACATTGTGCTGCAGCGGTATCCAGAATTCGCTCTGCGATCTTCTTCGACTCGGAGTATCCCATATCCAGTGCTGTGTCGAGGTCCAAGACTGTGTCTTCAGGAACAGTGCGTGAAGCTTGGCCTGAACGAACCCATGGTCCAACAGAGCTCAGCGATGATATGAAAACAATTCGCGGCCTACGTGGACTACCGGCACTGAAGGCGATAAAATTCAATACGCTCCTGATGTTGTCCTCGAAAGACGATAATGTCTGGTTGAAGTCCACCTTCCAGGCATTATGTAACACCAAGTCACAACTGTCACTCAAATCATCAAACTCAGCACTACTCAGCCCCAGAGTTGGCAGTGCCATGTCGACTGTGAGAAATGTGATCCTTGTGGTGTCTCGGTCTTGCGATTCCCGCTTCGATAGCCAGTTCTGTTTGGCTCTTGCAGAACGGTTCAGACAAAATACCCTGGAGACTGAGTCTGATTGCAGAATTTCAGCGAGAACCACAGCACCGAACGACCCAGTTGTGCCAGTGATGGCAATACAGAATTTTTTTGGAGCCGATTTGATTGTCCGAGGAGGTGAAGTTGGCACACTCTTGATCATTCTGTTGTACACCTCTGACATTTTTGTTATCCGGAGTTGGTCCTTAGGCACAGCACCTTGCCTGAGAAACAACAGCAAAGCATCAGCAAGTTCAACGATAGATGGTTGTTTGTAAAAGGTGCTAGGAGATATCCACGACAGTTGGGAAGCATCTCGATGACCGCCCAGCCCCGACTTCAGCATCTTGACTGCTTCAATAGTCTGCATTGAGTCGAGTCCATAACTGTAGAAGTTGTCTGCATCCCCAATATCGGACCTTGCTAAGCTCCGTGTCACGACCTGACGAACAAAACGGCGGATGTCATCTAGCTGGAAGCTCGCTGCTTGCAGCTCTATTTCCGTCATGTCACCTTGTGTATCTTGCTTCTCGGAATATATCCCATCAATTTCTTCTGCATACAAGGTCTCCGTCAATTTTCGAACAACAGTTCCCTTTCCAGACCGAATAAAAGGCTTCTTGGAATTTGCTATCATGATCTTTGACTTTGCGACTCGTCCCTGGCCTGGAGCGGCAGCATTGGCGTTTTCGACAGCAGGCCAGATTTTCTCGAGTGCCTGGGGATCATTCTGGGCATCTGGGTTGAGCTCGACCAAGAGCGCAGGCTGAAAATGTCTCGTTCCTGTCACAATGACTCCTGCGATCATTGGATGAGCTAGAAGTGCTGTTTCCATCGGTACTGGGTAAAACTTTTCTCCATTTGAGAGAACTATGATGTCGTCATTCCTCCCGTGAAAGCGCCACAGGTTGGGCTTCTCTGGATGGCGCCTGAACAGGTCTTTCGTTCTCCATTCTTTGATGTCAGGAAAGTTATGATTGAGGGCCGTGTTGTCTCTCGTAGTCTCGTCCATCAGGAGGACTAGTTCGTAAGCATCATCGGCCGAGAGTTCGAAACGAAGTTTCACATTAGGGTGAAAGTGCATCCATGCCCAGTCTCCTGGCAGAGGAGCGAGCTGTCTGACGGGGCCCGTCTCTGTCGACCCGTAAAACTGACCAAGCATCGTGTACTTGCTCATTTCATCTCCTGCAGTCTCCGAAAGCGGCCCTCCAGCGTAGAGAAGGAATTCCAACTTTTTCAAATTGGCGAAACTTCTCGGCTCGTGTAGAAGTTGTTCCACGAGTGACGGTGGCATCATGGAACCCTAACAAACACGAATGGGTCAGTACAAATATTTTTGAGGCCATAGCAATGAAGTTTTCGCATAATCAGTACGTAAAAGATTGCAATACAACTCACACGAATGTCCTGCCGCTCCAGAATTTCGGCTATCAGGGCAGCAGTGGGTGGCGCAAGAGGTGGGCCATACACCGGAATGCTGTTCGTATATATCGGTAACATGATCTGGTAGAGGAAGCCTCCTAAATGAAATAGTGGAAATGGCGAGTATGTGCGTTGTATTTCGCCGTGGAAATCCCAGATGGTCAGATCATAATTCGTCCTCCATTCAACATGTGGGAAATTTCGGTCATTGTCATGCACCGCAAAGGTCCCATTCGTCATAACCACGGGCTTCGGCATGCCTGTAGAGCCTGATGAATGCAGGATGACAATGGGATCATCGAGAGCCTCGCGAAAAGACTTCGTGTATGGGAACGGATCGTGAGGAGCTGCAAGGAGAGTTTCTTGGCTCTCGACTGCCGTTGCTCTGATATCTGGCCTCCTTTGAATAATATCGTGGATTAGAGGAGCTAGCTCCTGGCAGTACAGCAAGTTTGATGACTGGGTCTGGTCTATCAGAGATAAAATTGTTGCAACAGAATTTCGCGGCGATGGGAAAAGCAGCTTGTAGCCGGACTTGATTGCTGCATACTGGGCGATTGAGTACCGAAGATCTGAGACCCCGATATAAGTCAAAGTTTCGAATTCTCTCTCTGATGTAGTTCCAAAAGTCTCTCGAAACCACCGAGCCATCTTGTTAGTTGCATTCGCAACTTCGGAATAAGAGACATCTCGAAAACCGTCGCTGATATTGGCTGACTTGGGAATTGCAGCAAAGACTCGGGTTGGATCATTTGCTGCAACATCATCCAGCACAACGGGCATCAGTCTTCTGCCATATGGAGCATTCTGATTGGAGCTAGTAGGAGCCATGATGGAAGGAAATGTCAAAATTGAGCTTGGAATTAAATTTATGATGCAAAACCAAGGGTCAAAACCAAGGGTCAAAACGATCGAGTATACAGAAACAAGCATTTTGGATGCCGAAGCTTTATGTTAGCCAAGCTGACGTTGGATGAATGCTTATCCTTCCCCAGTTGTTCTAGTGTCAGACGAGATGAGGTATGCATCGCGAGGTTCAGTTCTGGGACTGGGACCTTGATTGGTAGGTATATTCGGCTGGGGTATGCCTGTCAAACTTATTCAGATCTGCGGGAGATTGACAGCGTGGTGCAAGCAGAAAAAACAACCGAATTATGCGACTTGCCCAAATCCCGGAACCGGAATCGACCGTGACAGCCGTGTGCTTCCGGCCGTCGATACAGTCATGCTGAGTGTGTTCAAAGATTTGAGAATACTGCTCAATCTGAGATTGTAGGAGCCACTATAGACACTTGACTACTCACAGAGAAAATAAAGCAATGTAGACTGGTATGCTTCTCACGCCGACTCCTGCGGTTGTTATGGTCCGTTCTGGACATGAATGGCTTTGGCCCATACGTGATTCTGTCCAGCCTGGGAAACATTGCTTTTGCGGCAAGGAACGTCTGTCATTCCTGTCATTCCTGTCTTTCCCCGGTTTTCGACCGCGTGAGATCCAAAAGTGCCATAGAAAGTGCCGTTGCTAAGGAACTTTCATCTTGTAAACATGTGACGTATCTGCTTGTAAGTTAAATAATGGGTAGTTGGCAACAAACTCCCCGTCACTTAACAGTCCAATGAATAGTATATCCAAGAACTGCTAACACGGGATTAGGAAAGAATCTTTAAAGAGCGTGAGCCATACTACAGCCTCACGCGTCGATGATCAGAGTGTAGCACGTCAGATGCTCAGCAGGATGCTCAGCGCGCATCTGAACGTGGGCACTGCTTAACTGGCTGGCTATGTCATGTGCTGATGTGAGAACCTTGACCCTGCACCATGAGAGAACAGAATTTGCTACCAGAGGGAGAAAATTAAAGGTGAAATTCTACCTCCCAAACAGGCGGGTGAAAATGCAAGAAATAATCTCCAAGAAGAGCCTTCCGTTTTGATAAACCTTTGAAGTGAAGGAAGCGAGAGTAGCTTGAGTAATGACTTATCCGCCAAGACACTAGGCTTATCAAGCTAGCTTATCGGCAACCGAGGCTCGCTTGTCTTATCCTGTCATCAGAAAGGAGAAAATTCTGATGGAAATATATCTTCAGAATTCTTTATCAAAGCAAAAAAATGTGTAGAAGCTCCCAAATCCTGGGAACCTCGGGAATTGAGCCCGAGGTGGGGCTCGAACCCACGACCTTGAGGTGTTTAGTGATAGAATATGAAGATATTCCAATTATAAGAGCCACACGCTCTACCGATTGAGCTACCCGGGCATTCTTTGCTTTGAATGATACCACAACGTCTTATTTGGTAGTATGAAAGGGCTAGTGATGTGAAGAGTTTGTGAGAAAATTTGCATTTACTAGTCCGGGGAGTCACAGAACCCCTGGTCGCTGCTAGCCCTCCGTTTGCAAAATCTCTGAGTCAGAGACTTCACAGCTTTCTCAGACCACTAGTCATTGAATCATTTGTTCTATAAGTCCTGAAAACCCCTTGCTACTTTGAAAGTCTTGATATGACACGCGGGGAACAGCACATGTTAGAACTACAGGCCATTTTGTTACTCTTAAGACCAGTGTTCTGTTCAATTTCTACCAGTATTGTTTGTTTCTGGCAGCCCGCTTGTGCAAAGTCCTCAACTCGTCCCATCACTTTCTTACTGTCACTCTACATGGAAATCCATCCGCTGGGTGAACAGATGATACAAAAACGGGATATGCTCTTTCTCCCAATACAGTCTTCAGTCCCTTTCGTGGGTGTAGTTCGTCCCACTCAGCATATGCATTGCGGATATCGAATTCTCTTAGTGTCATTGCAAGCACAGTCTTCATGTCCTGCATCACCAATGTTTGCCCAATACAGTTCCTGGGACCAAATTCGAATGGCCTCCAAGCTCCTTTCACAGGATACAGTGGATCTTCGGGACCCACTAACCAACGCTCTGGCATGAAAGCATCAGGTTCTTTCCAGTACTTCGGATTCCTGTGGACAGCGTTATGGAGAATCAAGATTGCCGTTCCTTCTGTTGGATATTCGTTCCCATCGTCGTCTCGAAGAATTGTCTCTGCAGTGCCGGTCCGAATTCCAGCAGCAGCAGGCCACAGCCGCATTGCTTCCTTAATAACAGCATTTGTGTATGGAAGGAGATTGATCTTCTGTGGTTGCTTTAACAACTGTGCGGCGACCGTCGACAGATCTGTTCCAAATACTTCGTCATGCTCAGTTCGGATCCGTTCCAAGGCTTCCGGATGTTGCGAAAGTAAGTGATACGAGTAACACAAGCTTGTTGCTGTAGAATCGTGTCCTGCAAACAAGAATAAACGGATCTGAACTATAGCCCATTTCTTGAAGGCAGGGTCCAATTTGTCTGATCTGCTTGCAACTTCGTTTCCTGACATGTAATCCTCAATAACGATATCAATGATGGACCGTGTGACTGCTCCCTTGCTCCTTCGTTGTTCTGCAAATCGCTCGTCTAGCTCCTTCGATATGTAATTGTCCATCAATCGACCGTTGTTCCACTGAACCAGTGGACGAATGGGATTGAAACGCTTGAAGGGGTTGAACTCGCCAGCGGAAATGTGCCATCGAACCTGGCACCTCATGGCGTACGCCAGTTGGTTGTACTGCCTTTGTGAGTGAAGCCTGGCGTTGAGAGTCACAGCCCCGATGATGTCCATCGTGAAGTCACAAAGAAGTTCATCAAAGGAAAACATATCTTTCTTGGCAGCGTGGTCCCTCAAAATGGATACGAATTCCGTCGTTTCTTCGACTATATGATCCATTTGGGTTAGGATATAATTGGCACTAAAGCCTCGACTAAACATTGAACGTAGCTTCTTCCACTCAGGTCCATTGCTGGTGAACATGCTACAATAAAGAGTAGTCAGCAATTGCTAGACCAAGGATGATTTGGGGAACAGGTGAAATATGTTTCAAGTAGTTCCTGAGACATGGAATAGAGGAAGTAAAATGTGCCACTCCAAGACCTACTGATCTTTTCTTCCGGCAAAAGGCTGATATTTGTTAGCACTGCTTCATCTCGATACCTCCGGAGAAGTTGACTCCTCTTTCAAATGTCGCAGGTTCGTACACGACTCTTGACCTGACAACTGCCAGTGGAAGAAGAGTTCACAGGGTATAGGAATGTACACAGTTGAACCTGAGCCGTCTCACCACCTCCCTGACAATGCAAAGACCAAGAGCACAAAAGAAGCTGAACCTGAGCTCACCTGAAAAAACTGGATGATGCTTTCGGGCTTTTCCAGATCGTACTGCTGACATGTCTGAATGGCCAAGGTTGGTGAAGAGATCAGGAATACTGGCCGAAGGAACGGCCAGATGTCCAAGTAATAGGCCGAATCGGACTGTGGGAAGTCATCGGCCAGCTCCGCCAGAAGATAATTTTGGTGCGCATCTGCTGGTAGGCGCGAGAGGTACGGCACGAGAGAGAGCAGATGACCAGTAATCGGGTTCCATTTGGGTATAGGCTAGGGGTCTGGTCAGTCTCCCTGGTACGTGCAATTGGAATGTGAAAGGTTCGTTAGAAATGGCGGATGTCCTGGGTGTACTCACGAGTCCTCGAGGATCCTTTCGCAGTCTATATATCAACGCCCTCGACTTCCATCCTTTAATGACAATATAGATGACCCCTGATAGCCAGCAAGCAAAGAGCGTGCCTAGAACCTGTCGGTAGCTAATGAGGAGGTCTACCGCCATGTTGATGGTAGACGAGAATTGTCAGTTTCCCAAGCTTCACAATCACATAATATAAGAGAGTGAGATGAATGCTGTGCCGCGTTCTTAGCCCTGACGTCCATCATATGGTGAGGTATGAGGCGTAGCATACCGTGGTAAGTGCAGGGGCTTTGCTGACAGTTGTGATACAAGAACCCCAATATTGGGAGCAGACCAATGATATGATCGGTATTCAATTATACTACCCAATATAATCACTCCAGAGTAATCATGAGAATCCCGTTGACCTACCAGGAGCAGGACCAATTTCAAGCTCCACCGCCGACAGGAAGGGCAACCTGTTCGTGAGTGGTCTACCGGTATATGTTCTTAAGTTGGATGGACAATGAAGTCTCATTCGATGCCATTGCCAGACTCGGCACTGCCGAAGAGCATCCTAAGACTCATGTATCTCATGTATCGACGTAATCATATTGTCGGGCTTTGAGAGCCTATCTAAGGTCATGTTTTGATGAGGAGAGCCCGTTACAGGGACGAGGCGCTAGGCACGTTACGATTTACTAGGCGAGCAGCCTGAGCTCAACGCGTCACCCGTGTTGCTCAGGACGCGTCCGGCTCCAAAGCCTCAAGAATAAAAATCCACACGTCAGTTGTACTGCCACAACGAGCCCCAATTCGAGCAGGATGGTCGCCTGTCCAATTTGCAGCAAGGCAGTGAAATCGAAAGACATCAATGCCCATATCGATTCCTCTTGCGAATCTTTTCTGGATACCGGTTCTCCGCCACTCACACAGCAACAGAATGCGTCACAGAAACCACCCGTGTCCGTCTCGACCTTCTTCCAAACGCCAGCAGCAAAACGAGCTGCCGCATATCCAACTCCCAAGGTAGAGCCCGGCTCAACACTGAGCTTCCAGCCGAAAACACAGAACAATGGCGTGGCTACTCCAACTCAACCTGCTCGGAAGCGATCCTTCGAAGATATCGCCCCTCTGGCGAAGGAAGAGAAAGACGTGGATGCTCCCGTCAAAGTTGAAGAGGGTCAACGAGCGAAGAAGCCAAAGACAAATGCTTTCCTGAAAGCTGCGCCACTTGCAGAACGAATGCGACCTACTTCCCTAGATCAGGTATGCGGACAAGAACTGGTTGGAGAGCATGGGGTGCTTAGGAGCTTGATTGAGCAGGATCGGGTGCCGTCGATGATCTTATGGGGAAGTGCTGGAACAGGAAAGACGACCATTGCGCGCTGTATAGCTTCGATGGTGGGTAGCCGTTTCGTGGAGATCAACAGCACGAGTTCTGGGGTGGCAGATTGCAAGAAGATATTTGCAGAGGCGAAGGGAGAATTGGGCTTGACGGGACGGAAAACTATCATTTTCTGCGATGAGATACATCGCTTTTCCAAGTCACAGCAAGACGTCTTTCTGGGGCCAGTAGAATCTGGGCAAGTCACATTGATCGGGGCCACGACAGAAAACCCATCCTTTAAGGTTCAGAATGCACTGCTCTCACGGTGTCGGACATTCACGCTGGCGAAATTGACGGACGACGATATATTTCAGATATTAGAACGTGCTCTTTCCACAGAAGGCCAGAACTACACGGCTTCGGAACTGGTTGACTCCGAACTTCTAAAGTACTTGGCTGCTTTCTCGGATGGAGATGCTCGAACAGCCCTGAACCTTCTGGAACTAGCTATGGGACTGTCAACAAGACCATCAATCACCAAAGACGAGATTAAGGCTTCTTTGACGAAGACTCTAGTATACGACCGAGCTGGAGATCAGCACTATGATACAATATCTGCATTCCATAAGTCAGTACGTGGCAGCGATCCAGACGCAGCTCTCTACTACCTAGCACGGATGCTACAGTCAGGAGAGGACCCTCTTTACGTTGCTCGGAGAATGGTCGTGATAGCATCAGAAGACGTTGGCTTGGCTGACAACAGCATGTTAAGTCTTGCAACAGGAGCTTACACAGCTGCGGAGAAGATCGGAATGCCAGAGTGTAGGATAGCTTTGGCTCATGTTACTGTCGCTCTCAGCTTAGCTCCCAAAAGTACGAGAGCATACCGAGGACTTAACAACGCTTACGCCGCGTTACGAGAACCTGGGGTTGCCAGTTTACCCATCCCGATACACTTGAGAAATGCCCCTACGAAGCTCATGAAGGAGCTTGGCTACGGGGATGAGTACAAGTACAATCCAAACTACAAGGACGGTAGAGTTGTACAAGAATACCTTCCTGAGCAGCTTAAGGGGCGAACTTTCTTGGAAAACAGAGATCTGGGGACAGAGATCGATCCCGGCGCTTGGTGACACCAGAAACACAAAGCTGTGATATTATTTTGATTATTAGCGAGGCGTTGGAGCTGTCTGGGATCAGAATACAATTGCAGCGTTCATGTAGGATAGTATCCAAAACGTATTGGCTAAGTGTCGAAAGTATTATGCTACTCTGGTATAGGCATATTGTACAAATCATGCCGAAGCATCTCGTTTCAAAGTTTCATAGGCATTATCCTCCAGCACACCATCCTGTCTCGGAATTCCAGCCTCTCCATCATAGTCG